CCCCTCCCCCCTCCCCCCTTCCACCCGCGTACCATCGTTCCCGCAGATGAAAGCCCTGGGTGTAATCAACACATCTTCCTTTGTAGAACACACGCATGGAGACCTTAAATCACTAAAATACAGTCAGTTATATGATGCTGTTTAGTTCCTATGAGAGGTCTTAAATACTTGATTGCAAATAAGCAATGGGAATCTCTAATGGCGTATTCACAACCCCGTGCAACAATTTTCAAATTTGTGTGATTAGGCGGTATATATTACGAAATGCCAGTGTAAGTTTAATGGCATAGTAAAACGAAAAATAAAATGACTTGCAGAGGGTGACAATCCAGGTTTTCTTTGAATTTCATAAAACAAAACGATATCAATCAATTTGAAGTAAACTCTGTATACCCTTAAATCAAGAGTCTTGATGGGCTGTCGCCTGCTTAGTTATGACGTACTACTGTAAAAATCATTTTGGAACGATCTGGTCGACACTTAGTACTTACAGATTTTCCAGTTTCTTTACTCCTTTGAACGTCTGACTCGGTAAGCCCTGGATTTTGTTTCCTTCTAAGCTTCTATAGAAAGAAAAGTTTCAGATACATTTTAAGGCATTTTCTTATCTCATACTTATATTAAAGATATCCATAATTCTATCTATATGTTCTGTAACTCACGAATTCGCTTACTTGTTAGGTTTACAAAAGTCGAGATCTTTTGTTTAATTGCGAATTATTGAAGGAATTTCACATAAATGCCCATTTCAAAATGTGAGTAACAAAGTACACTTACAAAGTTTCAAGACTTCCCAGAGTTTGGAAAGACGTTTCAATCGACGTGATTTTGTTTTCCTCAATTTTTCTGTTAAAAAAAAAAGCAGAAGATTGCATTTTGTGTCAATAAGTACACACATTCCACTGAAAGGGAAGTATTATGAGAATGATTTTGACGCAGTTAAAAAGCTGTTATCAAGCTTTACAGACACCAACCTATATGTGGTTAATTGGTGTTCATTATTCCTTTTAATGATGTTTACACACCGAGCATCAAAAGGCCGTTTGGCTGAGACTATTTTGATTGATTCATAACCGAGAGGATGTTATTAGAGATGGTTGTTTCTCCAGTTAGAAATGTTAGGTACCTTTGACCTAGAATTTTAAACGAGTTACAATAAGTTATGAAAGGAAAAGTTATGTACTTACAAGAATTTTATCATATTTGATTGTGGAAATGCGTCTTCAGAAATGTGTGTGATTTCATTTTTCGCAAGATTCCTACAAAGACAAAATACGATGAAAGGATAATAAATACGTTTAACATCAAGATAATGTCAGCTATAATTCCCAAATAGTAACGATAAGATGTAAAAAAATTATTTCCAGCGCCCAATTTTGCAATGGTTGTTTCTTTGGACCCAAAGGTAAAAGCTCCTGTTTCACATCTCCAGGATTTGCTATTTTTATTTATATACTTACAGAACCTCCAGATACTCGACTCCTTCAAACGTCCGACTTGGCAGGCTTTGGATTTTGTTTCCTTTTAGAGTCCTAAGAGGTTAGTGGCAAAGAAAACAGATGACTTAAGTAGGTGTGCGTTTACATTCTTCAATCTTGTTCCTCACCAATCTGGTAAAATTCAGGACTAGTCTAGATGTATCCATATTCACATGGAAATTTCACTAATCCGTTTATTCGTTTTGTTCTTTTCTTAATTTATCCATTTATCATTCTAATCACCATCAGTGTATAACACACCGGTGAATGGTGCTTTTCGCGCGCGCTGATTGGCTAGGTCGGAGGCGATAAGCAGAGTCCCATTCACCTCTGAGGAGTCGATGAGACAAAATCGCGAGGAAAGTTTTTAAAATATCCCACCATCGTTCGGCATATTGACAGAAACGAACTATTTTTTAGTTTCTGTGTGGTATATACCAACACACCTATCTACCTCCACTTCGGTGAAAATTATTAATTACACATCTGAATGGCGTTACTTACAAGTCTTTAAGATTTTTCAGATTTTGCAAGGACCCTTCTATCGACGTGATCTCGTTGTGCTCAATTTTTCTGTTGGAAGAAAACAAGACATTCGTTAAGCAAGGTAAAATCCGTACAACTATCTCTCCATAACCTGGTCTATAACCTAACATGAATCGATAGATGCGAACAGCTTTCAAACGAGTGTCGAAAAGAAGGCAAGAGATTGATTTGCTTCACTGCTCAAAGTAATTGAATCTCTCCTTCAACCAATCAGCTGCAGAACCCAAACCAATCATGACTTGGTGACAGGCGTTTTCCCGCGTTTAAGACTGCATACATCTTTTAACTTTGGTTTCTTATAGATTTCCTTAGATATCTTCCTTTTATTCTGCTTATGAACCGTTCTGATTACTTTGGTCTGAATTTTACGCAACTCAATCGTAATGCGTTCTAAATGTCATACTTACAGAACAGACAGCGATTTGCACTCGGATAGGTCCGGTAAACGCTCAATTTTGTTGAAATCTAGAGTTCTGTAGGGATGAGGAGAAGAAGCCTGATTATCCACGGTAGCAACCAAAGTTCATGGAACTTCGGAACTTAAAATCTTTGCTGGAAGCACCACGAAAAAAGGTTGAAGGTTTTGACAAAAGTGATAAAATCTAATGTGATGTTTACGTCCTCTTGAAAATCTCGTTAAACCATCCTTGCTTTCATTACAACGGCAATATCAAAATCGTTGAAAAAAGAGGCAAGGTACCCAATCTATTATCTTTCTGTTATTTTGCGTTTCTTAATATCCAGGGGTGCGTTTAGAGTTGTTTGACAAAGTACAACTATACTCTACTTACAGTTCCACCAATTCCTTCAGATTCTGGCAAAGATTCGTAGGTAATTCTCTAATTTTGTTAACAGTCAGAGTCCTGAAACAAACAAAAGCAATCAGACTACCAAATCATAATCAGCTCATAATCCGTCATAAAGATTCGAAGTAGAAGACCAAGTCAAGAAGTTTTATATCTGACTTAATCCAACCAAAAGATATCTCGTTTCTTAATCATTTGCTAAGATAAAAAAAACATTATTCAGGAATACGTACAGGTACTGGAGAGAAGATGTGCCCGTCAGGTTTGGAAATTTTTCCAAACGTAAATTAACCAGTCTCCTGAAAAACATCGAAGTAAAACGAAAAAAATTAAAATATGAATAAAACATCATTTGATGTGTTTAATGCTGGAATCGAAGTAATTATTTCGATCGTTTTCTTTTCGCATCCATACATCTCATCGATAATTCAATATCCACAAAAGGTTATCCGTGCCGCCAATGTCTGTTAGAAATGGCACCAAGGGCGCTGGGTTTGAGGGAAGTGTGATGAACTAGCAAATATTTTTTTAGCAACACGGGGAAGAAAAAATACTCCCCCGTCTTTTCAATTTGGAAAAAAGGCTTTAATCAAAGTTATGGGAAAATAAACTTTCACAAAAATGTGTCAGAACTTACAGTCGGGTTTTTAGTTTTGGTAGGTTGGCAAAAGCGTTGTGACCAACAGAGTTCAGCTTCTCCCAAGTGAAACGTCTGCAAAGTGGTAAAAATAAGTCAATGAACTGTGACAAGTTACAGACCTTGACTCTTTCACTTCCCAGGCTGATCAGAAGACAATTTATCTTTAGTAATCCAACAAATTTTCAAGCAAAAAGAAAATGAAATTGAAATTAAACAATGAAGAAAATTAATAGTAACATCTTAGTAGTGATGGGGTTAAAAAAAAATTGTATTTTGGTTCAGGTCATAGGCCAATGGTATGCTTTCTAAGGGCCATTTGGAAACACATCCATCTGGACTTCGCAAGGAAATTTTATTTGTTTAAAATTTAGACAGCTTTGATTCCAGGTCTCATAGAGAACGTTGCTTAAGAATTACAAAAGCAACGGAAACAAACTCAGAAAGAGGGAATGTGAAACAACAAGAGAAAAATGAAGGGGCGCTATCCGACAACAATACTTACAACGTCCGGAGTTTAATTAGTCCCTTAAACGCATGGTCGGGAATTTCATCGATCGGATTGGAACTAAGTTCCCTGTTTGGAAGGAAAAATAAAACTCAAGTTGCGAACACAGAGTGTGGACATGAGTGAGTCTCAATGAGTCTCAATCCAATAGCGCTGTATGAATGATTCTTACAGGTCAACTGCACTTATAGTAATAGCAGTAAGGCCTAGACGGAGCCTGACGTCATGACTACCAGATTACAGTATGTAAGTCAAACATTGAAATGACGACATTTGATGTTCAGCAAGTTCATTAACATTGTCCTCAGACTCACTTCATAGTTTGTTCCTGATCGAAGAATACGAAAACACTTACAAGTGGCAAATGTTCTTGACATCTTTGAGAGAAACAGGTACTTGGCTAAGGTTATTTTCCATCAAGCTTCTAAAACAGAGAAGAAAAACAAAATTTACTGAGCTTTGTCCATTGATGGAGCCTTTTTTTTGTTGCTATATTGCAAAATTACCGCTGTTATAGAAGTGACCATACGAAAATATGCGCTCTTGAGACGGAAGTATGGTTAGTATCACATTTCTTTTGGGTATATCTATACTTAGTTCGCTATTTAAACCTAGCATTGAATTTCTTAAAAATGAAGGTAAAATCATAATAGCTTTAGCATATACTCACAAATACTTCAAAGAGTCCAACCCTTTGAATCCGTCGTCTTCGATCTCTATTATTTCATTGTTGAAACATATTCTTCACCAAATAAGAAAAAGGAAAATTAAAAATATTAAGTAAAAGGAATGAAAAAGGACACGAATGGATTTCATTCTTTGTCTGTACTTAAAACCAATAACTATTATCGGTACATTAAGTGTCAGTTAGACGACAACCAGTTGCGAAAATGTTGAGACATCTTAAAATACAATTTAAGTTTATCGTGTGATACGCTTAGCTATCCAAGTGTGACATTACGCAATGAAATGACGCACCAGCTAATTTACAGGTATTCCACATAAATTCAAATTAAATTTAAAGTCAATACTATAACATACTTTAAAATTTCAGAAGGTTTACGTCAGCATCGTAAAATACAATCTAAAATAATTCCACTTTACGCTAAGAAGTAAAAACGATAATCTTGTGCACTTACAATAATATAACAAAAAGTAAAAAGTTAGGTTGAAAGACCCAAAACTTCAATTTTCTTTATGCTGTTTTTGAAGGCCTTAAGAGTTCTAACAGCTCTGTGTGCATGACTCTGGTAGAAGATTCTACAGCTTTGGAACTAGGTAACGCCACAATTTCAATCCGTGGGTTGTGGTGTTGAGCAGTTTTAGAATGTCGGCCGGTTTTCCTCAGATCGTATTTAGTGTTTCTAAAATCTAGTAACATTTTTTGCTTTCAGGAGCATGATCGTAATTAATAGCTTTAAAAACCGCACAAAATAGTTTGTGAGTCTTTCATTAGTCAATGATGGTAACTTTATCTTAATGAGTAGTTCCTGGTGGTGCGTGTGTTTTACATCAAAAACAACTCGTACAGCACGTTCGTTTACTTTTTCCAGTTTTGCACTGGCACCTGTACTGTGGTAGTGCCAGGTCTCAGAACAATAGTTGAAATGGGGAAAAATTGATAAAAAGGAAGATATCCTTTCTTGTTTCAAAGGGAAGCATCTTTTCCATATACTTGAGCAACTTGCCGAGAGACTCCTCTGCATAGTCTCGCTACACGCGTTTCAAATTTTAGTTTCTCATCTAACGTTATTCCTAACAGTTCAAAATCTTCGGTAATGGGGATTTGGTAACGGTGTTTTGATGATAAAACTGAGGCGCGGTTTGCGTTGTTACCATGACAATTGCTTGGTAATTTGCTGGGTTTCTCCTCATATCATTTTCCTCGTACCATACGTCTACACGACGGAGGTCATTGAGAAAAAAGTGCGTTTACCGATTTCATCAAATGGCCAAGAAATTGGGTACCAAAAAAAAAACCAAAATCTGCCCTCCTTCCTCAATTCACATGTTGTTTATCGAAGTTTTGTAGATGTTATGTTACTGCTAAGCTAGAAACATTGTAAAGAGGGGAGGGAGTAGAGGAATACATTATGTTGGATCACATGGTGAATAATTATCTCTTGTCAAGGTAATATGTCTCAACTACTTTTGCAACTGGCTGTAGCTCTTTACTGCAGTCTCAGGAGCTGAAATTATGTACTTTGGGTATTCTTTCCATTCGAGACTTCTACTCATGAGCTTGTAAGTGCTCAGTGCCAGAAATACAGGAGGTTGTTTAGCCTTCTTGGGGAGAACCCAGCTTCCCACCCTTTGTAACCCTTTAGTCCTATTTTTACTTTTGACATTTTTATCAGAATGTCGAAGGAATTAAATACTCACAGCGACTCAAGCTTGGACTGACTTTGGAAAGAACTGTTTCTTATTATGCGAATCTTGTTTGACTCAAGACTCCTAAAAAAAAAAGGAGAATTAAGTCAACCCTTTATTTATTAAACGGAGGAAAAACTAGTTACAAAATAAGTAATAGTGTAGTTTGATCGTTCGGGTGAGTGTAGTCCTGAGAAGGACTGTTGTCGGTAGTGGTGATTGACGTTTCGAAACCTGAGCGGAAGTCGTCACCAGAGTCAAGTGAATAGTTGTTGTCAGTCGAATGTTCCAAGTCCGGTTTGTAGAAACTAATTGGTCAGTTTTACCGTGATGTTATTGGCTGTAAGACTCAAGTGGCGTTCGTCGTTGGTGGTGATTGGTCGGTCTCGACCCGTTAGTAAAGTTAGGTCGTTCTTTTCGGTTCGTTTGTAATGTTAATGTCGTGAATGAGTCGTTTGTATGGTGCCGGTAGTGGTTGACACCTGTTGAGGGAAGTCTTTTCTTAGTTAGTAAAACCAGCTTTCCGGAGTCAGTCGTTGAAAGTAGTCGGTGCTGTTGGTTAGATATTGCGCCGAGTCCCAGTCCATAGTCTGGTTCGTAAGTCGGTGATGTTCAGCAATGTGATTGTTGACATCGCCTTTCCTCGTCGCTCGCTTGTGTTCAGTCAGTCTAGTTGTAAGGTTATTGCCAGTCTCATTGATTTAGGAGGCGTGGCTGTCGGAGCAATTGATCTTATAAACCGCTCCCTGTCTGTTCCTCAGTTCGTCTTTGACGTCAGTCAGTTACTGACGTAGTGTGGTAATGGGTTTGTGAGCAACGCGGATATTGAAGGGTTCTAGGATGCAAAAGATGTTCTCAGATATGTCCTTTATGTACGGTATAGTCGCTGTAGTCGTAGGAGTTGCGTTGTCGTTAGCTTCGTTAGTAGTAGTAGTTCGGTGACTGTTTCGTCGGATGAAGTCTTCCTTGCACACTATAACTTGTTACCCCCGGGTTTAAACCATTTACTGTATGAATTAAAAATAAGTTGCATACATACAAATATTTAAGTTCTTTTAGACTTTTCAAAGCTTCCGCTGGGACTTCTGTAAGGTTGTTGTTATCAAGCCAGCTAAAAACAAGAATAGAAGGGTAAATATTTTTAAAAAAATGTACGTACCATAAAAAAACAATAAAGAAAAAGTACATACATTGGACTCCCGATAACAGGTACTTTGGAGAAGAACATAAAAAAGGCTTGAGTTTAAGAAACGTCGGACTGTGGTCATGTTTACTGAGTATGGCCCCACTGACTTAAACCCCAATTAATGATTCTTTTGTATCTTGTCGGCTAAAATTTTGGAACCTTCTTCAAGTCTAAGGAAGTAGTGCGAAGCGATAAAATAAGGACTCGAAAAAAAGTTGTGAGGCTCTTTTAAATCGAAACGTTTAAGTCATAGCCATGGGTCCCTGTAACAGATCCATTATTAACACCAGGTTGATCCCTCTCAGTAAGGAACATTTAAAGAAAAAAAACAGCAAAAAAATGTATCAAAGGTATTAAAGGTATGCCTTAGCAATGTACTTCAGCAAGAATCGTGAAACAAAATAGCAAAAATAATGAATAAATGAATAAGTCAATAAAGATATCTGAATACAGGAAAGGGTCCAGATATAAGAATGTCATTAAAAACCACGTAACAGTCATTTTAGCTTACAGGTGCTCAATATTCGGAACTTCTTTGAAAACCCCAGCTTTAATGGTGTTCATTTTGTTCCCTGTTAAATATCTGAGAGAAAAAAGAAAGAAATCAGTTTAAATAATTATTAGGTGGATCAATATGATATGGTATTCAAGTACTTACAGCTCGTTTAAGGATTTCAGGTGAACTCCAAACTCTGGACAAGTCTTTAAGTCATTATCTTTAAGTGATCTAAGAGGCAAGATATGCGAGGTTAATGTCAAATTATTTAATTCTTGTTACACTTCAGATCATAGAGAATGCCGAGTAAAAGATAATCTCATTTGCCATTCAGAGGTAACGAAAACTCACAGTATCCTGAGATGCTTGAGTCCTTCAAAGGCATTAGGTTGAACATGATACAGCTTATTTCCATTCAAAGTCCTAAGAAAAGGGAGAAGCAAAAACACTTTTGTGAACGTCATGAGCACGTCACTAGCCCCTTACGGCATACCGAAGCTTGACTTCGTTAGTATAACGCGACTAAGGGCATTATTGGTCTTCCTACACGGTGTTGCTTATTCATCAAAGGTCACCGCTGAGAAACCCGTATTCCCGTGAGAGTTAGTTGGTACTCACTTTAACAATACATAAGCAGTGTGGGGTTTTATTTCAAAAGTTGTCTTGTTATAGTTATAAACGGCCGACCTATTGAAGAAACTTGGAACATTGTCCTCGTGAACGTAAATCAGACAGTGGATAAGCTCTCGGAATCATATTCAAGGATAACCGAGGATTTACGACTGAAAAAGTAAAATAATTTTCCTTCTAACGTGGTAGGAAAGAGAAACAAAGGTAGGATACATTTCCGAGAGGAGTTTCATTAAAGGAATTACTTTAGTTATGGACGAGCATTCACTTGTATTTGAACTGACTTTTCAGAAGTCGTTTAGAAACGATTTCTAAACAAACTGTTGTGCTGTGTCAGTAGGCGAGTAAAAGAATTTCGCTCCAACCATCAGCTTATGCTATGGACGTCGATTTTTTAAAACTCGCTTGGGGGGCTTATCTTGCTTTATCCTCCTATGATTAAGAACCATTTTCTTAAACGAGTATTGGTATGTTCTGTACACTATACTGGAAAAATTAGCCTACATCTTTTTAGTTTTTCACTTGCAACATATTTTATAGTCTTGAAATATTCTTCATTCTTAGCCATCTTTTTTCCATATTGGTTTCAATATTCAGGTCTCCTCACTTTTTTTCCTTAACAAACTGATATTGTCATCTGAAGGTAACGTCACGACGAATGAATAAAAAATATCACAATCTTTTTTCCTTCAAACGCGTATCCACATTTTAAAACTTCGTAAAACTTTTCAAACAAAAATTTTTCCTTCAAAAAATTTAACTCGGCAATTGAGATAAAACCGTTGCTGATTTCTGAATCTTGCCGATAACTGTGTGGGTGGTGAAGTCAATGCTATTTTCCACATTAAAATTAAAGCTGATTTTTTTTGCGGCGCCTTATCATGATAGATAAATAACACAAAGTGTTTGAATTAGGACCACAAATCAAATTTTCAGACAGAAAAACTCCCACATGCAAAAGGAAATAAGGATTATACGCAGTAATTTTCTAATGTTTCAAAGTTGCCGCTTTGAAAGAAAATATTTTCATTTCACATTTACAGGATATGTTTGAATTTGAGCTAAAAGTCATTACTATTTTTTGTTCTCCACGAATCTTCGGCTGAATTGGTTTTGTAAAAAAAAACTTCTTTTTTAGCGACAAAATTAAAAAGCGAAAGTTTTGCAGAAGTGCTCTTGGCAAATATCATTTAGGACAGTTTTTCTAATATGTTTCTCTTTGTAAACAATCCATTTGTGTTTAGCTCTACTCCTTCTGGCCAGGGGCGATGTAACTAATAAGCCAAAGAAGACCCAATTCATGGCGTCAAAAGCCATACGCTGGCTTACAATATGAAATTATCCTGTTCATCAGCTATGTCTCAAGCGTCTTGTGTGGCAGAACACAACAGAGAGTACAAATCTAATAAACTGAATTGCTTTTGTCTTTCGACACGAGCTCTGATTTCTCGTAAGCCATAGTAATTCGTACTTCCCAGTACTTTGATCATGCGCTTTCTGTGACCTGACTACCTCCGAAATAGACCTCTTTGGTAAGGTTGTGGTCTGATGTGTTCATCCTCTTTCAACTTGGTGTTTAATTCGTGTAAATCCTTATGTACCCTGTAATATATAACAGGTTGTCCCAGTAACTCTTTCAAAACTACAACAACATCGTCGACCTAGACGCAACATTATATAATCGTGTAGGAGCTAGCGGCCAAACAAAAACATCAGAGAAAAGACAGAAACATCGGGAAAAATTGGTCTCGCTCAGATTGATCTGTTTTTACCTGTTTTAACTAGGAGTCTTGACTCAATTATTTGTTGTAATGTTATTACACTACGGTACACTTCTAATTCAATTTGAAGACAATCATTGATTCTATATTTTCAATGACTTTTTTTCTCGCAGGGGGGTTTTCAAGTGACAATTTTAACATTGCAGTGTCCCCTGTCTCTGGATAAAATTTGATCTAATTAGTATTTTTTTTTTTCGTCGCCGGATATGATTGTTTTGAATGTGATCTTTGACTGAGTTGATACTCTCCCTTTCACGTGATAACAACATGAAGAAAATTAGCATTCCGTCCATCGATATTTTTAACCCATCAGAAGCCTGTACGTTACAAGTCCTCTTGATAAATTCTCTCAAGAGCATGACAAATTAATGACGCACAATAATTTCATTGTCTAAAATGAGAGAGTTGGAGGAACTCTCGAGATTACTGAACACGCACAAATGGGTCATCTTAAAAAAAAACCCCTCTGGATCACGGTTGGCTTAATATGCCTTTTAAAGTAGAAAAAAGACTGTAACAACAATTAATTATTATGACATTGTTTTCTTAAACATGTTTAAGTCAATTCAAATGATTAAGTGCTTTCTATATACCTCCTGGGAGAGTGAAAGCGTGTGTGGTAGTTTGGACTTCAGATGACCTTAACTAAAAGCTTTGAGGAAGTTATCTGGATATTTTCAGAAACGTTCAGAAACAAAAAGTTTTCTGTTGTCTGCATCTCTCATCAAGACAAAGATAATACCGGATGTTCTTATGAGTGCTATTCGCTACTCCATGTATTATTTCGTTTAACTTGACATAATTAATCCCCAGTTACAGATGGGCGGCTTCTTTCAGCCGGCAAACAGTCAGCAAGTAGTTGGGTACCTCACGATATTTCGCGTACTTTCTAAGGCGAGAATAATTATCTTTTGTGGGAATGAAACCACGCATTATCAGTCTGGAAAAATAAAAAAAACCACAAAGGGAAGAAACACTACAACGGTGAAGTGAAGATGATTAATGCGATGGAACAGATTGACACAAATAGCAAGTAAAGACATTGTGGGTTTTTTTAGAGTATCGAATTCATGTAAGACAAGTCAAGCAATTGGTTTTGCCCACGACTTCAGAGTTGCCTTTTCATTTGCTTTGTGAAAACCTTAGCAGAACAGTCGCGAACAATAAAAGAAGACGAGAAGAGTACATTAAGCGCAACTCCACCAAATCTTAAAACAAGTAGCGGAGGTTTGGTAAATCATGACACTGCAAATTTAATTTAGCCTCTTATGCTCAAAACACCCCTACTGGTAAGCTAATAATTTGAAGAATTGCATCTTATTTTTGATTAAAAAAATAATCACGTCTTTCCGGTTGAAAAGAGAAGATGGCAGAGTACACTTGACTCTTGGATACTAATTTTGTTTCAGAGCATAAAAATGAAGCCACCCTAAGTGAAACTATAACTCCATCTTACCCATTAGTTATCATCGTATTGTACTTATTTCACGCGCTAAAAGACGGGAGCGCGAAAAAGAACAAATTGTAAGCCAGCGGAAGCGGGATCACGGGATCAAACGTTCCTTTATTTCCCTTCTTACGCCGACTTTCCCCTCCCCGAGCTTAGCACCCCCGCCGGAAAAGAACGCCCGATACCATGTTGCACACCAGTCGCCTTACCTAAGGGTAAATCGATAGATCTCTACTCGAAGCATAATAAATTTCGCACTAGGAAAGGTTTAAACGCATCCTCTAGAATTATGGTAATCTATTTAGCATCCTCATGCAGGAGTTCATTTGGATTAAACAAATCTAATGTAATCTAGCTCATTATAAAATTGCGTGTGATTATGCTTTAATTGTAAAAACACAAAACAGAGTTGATAAACACGTTTTTTTCTCCGATGAGGCAATGTCAAAGCCCAACGGCAAAGAAACCATAAGCCAAGAATTCCACAGACATCATTATTTTGTAGGCTGACTGACACTTTGGATCCAACAATACATGTGCTCTTTGATCATCAGTTGGCTTAACATGCACTTAAATTAGAAAGGAATTTTCTAGGAATACAAAAAATCATAATTGAGCATGAACGAAAAGCTATACTCAATAAAAAAAAACTAATAATAACATGTAAAAGACTATTATTAGGACCTAGATGTCTTTCATAGCAGATTAAAAATGAAAGGAATGATACTATTTTCACCGCAAAATTCACACCAAGGTTCTCGTTAACCCAACCAAACCACAACAAATCACGTATAGCGGTGAGGAGTTACACTGTTTGTAAAAAAAGAACCGAAAACATAATGATTTCTACATTATCATGAAAGATATGACCGCGTTACTTTTAAACTTTGCGTTAACAAAAAACGATCGAAAAAGTTCTAGTAACAGGGCGCAGAAGACTTTATCTTAAATTGGTAATTTAATGCTTATCGGCTTCCTTTCATTTTTATTAATAGTTAGAAATGGTCGTAAGCTGCCAAATTCTCTTGAAAAAAGATGAATTCTAATAACGTGAGACAAGTACAGGTGAAAGTGTTAAACTGACTGTCTGTCAAACATCTAACGTCTTTTCAAAGTTGTCGGCAACTTGAAAAGTAAGCTTTGATGCTCGGGTCAGTCTGTCCTGTAATCAAACGCCTTAATCTTATTTCATCTGTTTGGTTTATCATTTTTACCTGATTGATTCATAGATTAGCGAAACAAAATTTTGCGTTTTTTTTAGCTCAATTTGTACTGATAGTAATTTTGCAAGCCTGAGAAAAAGTCAATTATTATCATAACGCAGTGGGATCATTTAGCCGAACTTTGCAATTGTTGTACAGAACATTCCAAACCAGTAGACCACAAAGTTGAATATGAATTTCATCAAACTATCGTCTTTTAACCTTTACTGTCTCACACATTGCCCGAGAAGGATTTTTTCCTCAGCAAGGCACCTGTCAAATCTCTGTTGAATTGTTTCGAAAAGATACACAAAAATTATTTTATGAAAGCAAACGGAATAGTGTGAAATGATATTTAAA